CAATTGGTCAACAGCATTAACCTTGATGTGGTGGAGACGTCTAGTGCTCACTTCCTTGGGTGCATGGGAGGATCACATTCTGCTGTCCTATCTCACACCATGTAGGACCCTTCCTTTAAAGACGTGGTCATAAAGGAGGACCTGCTGAGGCAGTGGAGCCAAAAAACTGGGCAGCCTGGGTTGGAGGACAGCAGCTTCAGAGAGTAACCTGAGCCAAAGTGATTTTGTATGGCTAAGAAGCCAGTTCTTACTTTGTTAGGTCATTGAGATATTAGAGCTGTTTATTCCACAGCGTACCTAGACCATTCTGCTTAATACATTTATTTAATTTTTTAACAAATACTGGTTGAGCTAAGCACCTACTATTAAACAGACCCAGAAATTCCATCTATGAGCAATAAGAACATAATTCTAAATATGGAAGCAGATGTTTACACTGAAGATGCACAATGTACAGTTATTTTAAAATCAGTGTTCCCACAATAGAGCAGTTCATGGCTAGAGAAAAACTCACCATATGGACTTTGTAGATATTTATAAAGAAGATGTAATAACATGGGAAAATATTTGTGACACTCATCTTCATAAACTTCCTATACATATAAAATGAGATCAGGGCAAAACACCAAGAATATTGGAAAGTTGCTCCATTGGATAGTGCAAATATGTAATTTTTCTACGTTATTTCTTTCTATAGCTTAGAATTTTGGAAATGTTTGAGTTGGTACTAATTTTAATAACAAAAATAATGCTTCTCTCTCAATTACTCAGTTTTTAACATTTATAATCAATGAGTCACTTTAATATCTAGTTGGTAAGATGTTTCTTGATCCTAGAAATAGGGGGTCAATGATATGGATAGATAGTAGATAGATATAGATATATAGATACACACACATTTTTGTATACATGCATAAAATTCAAATTTGAAAGAAAACAATTCCTATTCATCTCTTTAAAAAGCATTTCAGATGACTTATTGGTGTTTTAAAGATTTATTTGTCTAAGCACTCTGACCTCAGAATCAGCACCTAAAGCACTCAGATCTGACTGAAAATCCCATGAGAGCATTGCAGTCATGGAAAGCCAAGACATAATGGCAAAAACAGTTCTGCATGAAAGATCTCTGTGAGTCAGACCCCAGTGGAAATAAGGGGTCATCACAGAAGGATGTAATTTTCTCTGAAGGGAAGAGAGAACTTCCACTTTGCATATGGCCCTCTCTAAATACCAACAGAGTTTGTGGACTCAAAAGTCTTCCATAGCCTTGGCAGCTTATGTCAAGAGCCTCAGGTGGTCATTGATGTCAAAAATAAGAGTGTTAATTGTTAAATCAACAACAGGAGTCACTGTGAACTTACTCCCCATGTTGGGCGTTTGTCCTTAATGAGGTATACTATGGGAATTAACAATAAAACTAGTCTTCAAACTGTACTTTACACTTTGTCTATGTGGGTGCAAACAGTTGAAATCTCTACTTAATACAGTATATGAAATCAATTAAAAACAAATCTTAATGGAAAATAGGAGTAGGGAATAGGGAATCTTAATGGGAGAGGGAGTGGGAGGTGGGATGGGAGTGGGGGTGGGAGGGTGGGAATGGGGGGGGAAGAAACACTATATCCCTAAAAGCTGTACATATGAAATTTTTATTCATTAAATAAAAAAATTTAAAAAGATTTATTTATTTATTTAAAAAATGGAGAGAGAGAGAGAGAGAGAGAGAGGATCTTCCATCTACTGGTTCACCCACCAAGTGGCCACAACAAGCCAGGAATCCGGAAGTCCATCTAGTCTCCTATGTGAGGGACAGGGGCTCAGGTATAGGCCATCATCCACTGCTTTCCTAGGCACATTAACAGGAAACAGGATTGTAAGTATTGCATCTGGGACTCAAACCTGTGCTCCGATATGGGATGCTGGTATCGTGAACAGTGGCTTAAGTATTGCACCACACTGCTGGCCCCTGGTGGTTTTTAAATATTTTTATTTTTTAAGATTTTATTTATTTATTTATTTGAGAGAGAGAGTGAGAGAGAGAGAGAGAGAGAGAGAGAGAGAGAGATGGATGGAGAGAAAGGTCTTCCATCCACTGGTTCACTCCCCAGATGGCCCTAACAGCCAGAGCTGTGCTGATCTGAAACCAGGAGCCAGGATTTTCTTCTGGTCTCCCACATGGATGCAGGGGCCCAGGGGCCCAGGTACTTGGCCCATCTTCTGCTGGTTTCCCAGGCCACAGCAGAGAGCTGGATTGGAAGAGGAGCAGCCAGGACATGAACCAGTGCCCATAAGGGATGACAGCGCCACAGGCTGAAGCTTAGCCTACCAAGCCGCAGTGCCAATCCCCCCTGGTGTTTTTTGTTTTGTTTTGTTTTTTGTTTTTGTTTTTTGACAGGCAGAGTTAGACAGTGAGAGAGGGAGAGACAGAGAGAAAGGTCTTCCTTTCCGTTGGTTCAACCCCAAATGGCCTGCTTCCTCCTGCACCATGGGGTGCAGGGCCCAAGCACTTGGGCCATCCTCCACTGCACTCCCGGGCCACAGCAGAGAGCTGGACTGGAAGAAGAGCAACTGGGACAGAATCCGGCACCCCGACCAGGACTAGAACCCAGGGTGCCGGTGCCACAGGCGGAGGATTAGCCTAGTGAGCCGCGGCGCCTGCCCGCCTCCCCCCCCCCCCCCCAGGTGTTTTAAAAACAGAAAGAATCTGGGCCGGCGCCACTAGGCTAATCCTCTGCCTTGTGGCGCCAGCACACCGGGTTCTAGTCCCGGTCGGGGCGCCGGAGTCTGTCCCGGTTGCCCCTCTTCCAGGCCTGCTCTCTGCTGTGGCCAGGGAGTGCAGTGGAGGATGGCCCAAGTGCTTGGGCCCTGCACCCCATGGGAGACCAGGAGAAGCACCTGGCTCCTGCCTTCGGATCAGTGTGGTGCACCGGCCGCAGCGCCACGGCCGTGGCAGCCATTGGAGGGTGAACCAACGGCAAAGGAAGACCTTTCTCTCTGTCTCTCTCTTTCACTGTCCACTCTGCCTGTCATAAAAATAAAATAAAATAAAATAAAATAAAATAAAATAAAATAAAATAAAATAAAATAAAAAACCAGAATCTGTCCTTGTTCAAGAGTCTTCTACTCCCAGGAGCCCATTGTCCTTACCTGATCAAAGACAGATTGAATCTGATGACCTGCTAAAATCATTCCGTTTGTCTGGTCTGTGAGGCTGTGTTCACGTGGGCTAAGAAGGCAGTAACTTCATGTCATAAATGCCACTCAGCCAGGCTTGGGGCAATGGTTCTCTTGTTAGTCTCCATGAGCTAGTCTCTACAGAAGTAACTTACAGAAAGATTATAATTCATGATTTTATTTCCTACAAGCTTCACAAAGGCAAGTTGTGTCCAGGCTAGCTTCTTGCAGTATGGCAAGAAGACACACTTGTCTTTAGTAGAATGAAGTAAAATTTATCCTGGTAAATTGAGATTGCACCAGAGTTTCAGACACTGGAGGATCTAGCTTGAAAATATTTCATAGCGGGGCTAGTATTGTTGTGTAGCTGGTTAAGCTGTTGCCTGTGACATTGGCATCCCATATGGGTGCCAGTTTGATTCCCGGCTGTTCCACTTCCAACCCAGCTCCCTGTAATGTGCCCAGGAAGGCAGCAGAGGATAGCCCAGGCACTGTGTCCCTGGCACCCATATGGGAGACCCAGTTGGGGTTCCAGGCTTCTGGCTTCTACCTGGCCCAACCCAGGTTGGGAAATGAACCAGTGGATGGAAGATCTCTTCTGTTTCTCCCTCTCTTTCTGTAACTCCACCTTTCAAATAAATAAATAAATAAATGTTTTGTAAAAAGGAAAGAAAATATATCATAGGGATCATGAGAGGTGCAGCACTCAGTAGGCACACTTTCTAGAAGGGTATGAGTTCAGGTGGCCAAAGAACAACAGACTAGGGATCTCAAAAGCTTTCAGGCCTCCCCACACTCTCTGGGTGTCAGGGCTCAGATCTATCAGTCTTACTCTATGGATGAGGATCATGATTCTGGGCAGATCTGTGCTCTCATGCCTACAGCTTACAATCAAAGAGAATGTAGTGCTTTCCTCAGGTTCAAGGTTGAAATTTCACAGGAAGGACACTGGTTGCACAGCTGGAGTCACATGCCCAACACCTGAGGCATGAGACACAGTGATTTTCCAGCCTGTTCACATGCCCAGTCTTTTTTGTCAAGAGGATTTGACTCTATTATCAGAGGGCTGTAGGGCCAGAGGGGAAGGTGCTAAGCAGTAAAACAGAATAATTTTTGTTTTCTGTAGCTGTGTAGCAATTTATCACAAACCTAGTGGCGTAAAACAATGCTCATCTATTAGTTCTTGGCACTATAGTTCAGAGGGCCCTATGTGGCATGGCTGGGTTCTCTGTTCAGGAAGTCATGAGGTCAAGAGGTATTGGCAGGGTTTGTTCCCTCTGGGAGCTCAGGGTTCTCTTCCAAGTTCCTGTGGATGTGGTAGGATTCAGTTCCTTGCGGTTACAGGACTGAGATCCCCTGTTCTTTGCTGTCGGGCTAGGAGGCACTATCAGCTTCTGAGTTCCTCTCACACTCCTCGCTACAAGCCTCCCATCCAACATCAAAGTCAGCTGTGGAAAACACCCCTGCATTGACTCTTCAAATCTCTCACTAGGAAGAGCCCATTCACTTTTTAGGGCTAACCTGATTCGATCAGCACCTACCCCACCTACCAACTCCAGGATGGTCTCTTTATCTTAAGGTTCATTGATTTCTCACCTTAGTTACAGCTGCAAAATCTCTTCACAAGAGTGCTGAGCTTAGTGTTTGACCAAATGACCTGGAGGAAGTGTATGCTGGGGAAGAGGAGCGTGGAAGTATTGGAGGCCCTCTGACCACAGTTGTCATAGGAGCTTAAGAAATTTAAATCAGCCTTGGGGTGAATAATCCAAAAACTAAATCTACCTAAATCTTGACCAATTAATTCATTTACCAACCTGTTGCTTGACTCATGTGATTGTTATAACTTGAGTGAATAGATGTTTTACTTATAATCTAATTGTCTAAATTTGAAGAAATTAGTGTCTAAGCTAGAAACAGAGCTTACTTAGTTAAGACTATGTTTTAAGCACTTCCTGTTAGCTTCTCCCCATACAAGAACTGTTTGAGTCCATCAACTCAATTTGGCTCCCTTGTCACACACATTCACGGAATGCTTTTCTTTTCCCTAGTGACCTTTGTGACACTCCTAATTATTCAGTGTCACTCCTCCTAGGTTACAGAGTAACCATGCACAATTCTGTTTGATGCAGTGCCCTCAGTACCTAGCACAGGGCCTGGCACAGACAATAAGCATTCATAGAACGAACGAGGATAGGTGCCATGCCATGCCTTGGTGCTCTATACACTCCCTGTGCTTGAGGGCAGTGCCAGCACGCAGCAGTTGTTCAGTCAACAAGGGAAGAAGGCAGGCAAGAGAGAAGACGCAGCGAGAGAGAACAAAGCAGGAGGCCTGTAATAGGAAGCAGCTGACCTGTGGCGTTCTGACTTGATCAAGCTCCACGAACACTTCTCAGCATTTCACTGCTAAGAGCGTTTGTATGAGGTGACTTCATTATTTCCAAATGGTTGTTGAAACTCTTAAAGCCTGTTGAGTCCTAACGGCAAAGGGTGCCCACACTGAACTGGCACGTGGTGCACCTGGAGGGCGTTTATGTGGCCGGGCTCCCTGCCAAAGGACTGGTCACACAGGGCTGTCCTCTCCATGTATTGTATCTTCAGCCCAGTCAGTTATCCACGTCGGCCCTCTGCACAGGTGCGGCTTGCCTGGAGTCAGCTACTCCCACAGCAAAGCAAATACACCCATACTGGGGCCTCTTCTAGCCTTTAATGGCAGACGGGCCCACGGGCAACCACAACTCACAGAACCTGGGGCTGGATACATAAAAGGACATTGCCTACCATGTGCGGGAGGTCAGTCACCATCACTTGCATGTTAGCCACCTCACAGACCACGGGGATCTGACTTTGGAGAAGCACTGAAGGAGTCCAGCATCACAGGAAAAAGTACACGGAATCTGGATCCAACGTATCAGACGTATGTACAGACCATTTTCTCAGTGGGAAATTTAGCAACTATTTTCCAGTCCCTAGTAGTGCATTGGTTTTCTGTGCCAGTCCCTCCTCAACCCCTGCCTTTCCCTGCCCTGACCTCACCCATGACTCTGCCTCTCTTTTATGCTTTGAGTGAAAGCTTGACAATGGTCACACACATATCCTCCTACTGCATGCATGCGTCAGCAGTTGTAGTGCGAAGCTATTCATAGGTCAGTGGGGGAGACAGCATTAGGAAGGAGGTGTTTTCAAAGCCTGTTCCACCTCAGTGCTGCCCAGTACCAGGCCATCCTCCCTCACCACTTGCTTAGGGCAATGGCTGCTGTTTGCGCCCTTGAAAATTCGCATGCTGAAGCCCTAACGCTCAACGTGATGGTATCTGGAGATGGGACTTTTGGAAGTCATTGGGTTTAGATGAGGCCATGAAGGTGGAGAGCTCATGATGGGATTAGTGCCCTTATAAGAAGGGGAAGCCAGATTTCTCCTCCCCTCTCTCATTCCCTCTCCCTCTCCCGCTCCCACCTCCCAGGGAAGGCCAGGTGAGGACACAGTCTGACAACAGCTGCCTACAAACCAGAAGGAGGACCCTCACCAGAAACCAAATGTGCCTGCGCCTCGACCTTGGACTTCTGCCTCCAAAACTGTGAGCAGTGAGTGTCTGCTCTTTAAGCTGCCCAGCCTCTGGTGTTTTGTTACAGCAGCCACAGTGACTAAGTCAGTTATGCAAGTTCACTAACTGTATGATGGCAGATTTCCCCACTTAGATTACAACTCTCCAGGAGCATGTCTTACTCAGCATTGTCCCCACAGTGCCTAACCACAGGTACCCGCTTATTAAATGTCTGTTAGAGCTTAAACTCAGTTCGAAGGAGCTTGGCCTCAATCATTCAGGCAATGGGAGCCCGTGGGAGTTTTTGAGTGGGGAGCGGTATTCCCTGTTTTTCAAACTAATGACCTACCCTTTGGAACCTCAGGTTGCTGGCAAAGGACCCAGGTTGCACAAGCACAAAAAGATGTGCAGGCCCTTTGAACAGAGGGCATAACTGACTGTTAGATCTAAGCCATCTTTAGGATTTCCTGTTTTCTGTCCTTGCGCTCCTCACAAGGCTAGAGCATCTTGCAGACCACCAGTCTGCAAAGGGTGGATTTTATTTCCGCTCATTTCAGTGGGACTAACCTTGTGACTGAGTCATTCTTTCTGACGGCTCTAGCTGCCTGAGTGGGGAAGGTGTCCAAATGTGGAGGCGATTGAAAATTCTTTATGAGGGGGAAGATCTCCCATCATACCTTTCAACTGTACTTCTAGGCGATAATGAACGGTTCCTTTCTAAATAACTAAATGTCACTTTGTTAGCCAGGAACTACTGAGGCGGATAAAATCTTGCTTTTAAACTTATTCGATGCATTCTGTGGAACTCTAAGTTATTTAAACACACACATGTGCACGAGCACACAGGAGCACACGTGTACATGCATACACACACGTGCACACACACACTCATGCCTGCTGTGGTTGCTGCCTTTCATCTTTCGGGTGGCTTTGCTTGTAAAGAACACAAAACACCAAACCATTTCTATAGCAGGTCCCAGCCAAGGAGTTAGCTGCGCGATAAGGATTTCCATATATAGGAGTGCGACTGAGGGCTGAGAGAAAATGTGGTAGGGGCGGCTGGCTACAACTCTCAGATCATTCTCTGAGAAGGAAAAGAGAGGAGGAAAGCACCCTAGCAGTGCACAGGAAGTGCCCGGCTGACATAACGGCAGAGCACGTTGGTGTGGGAAAGGCATCGGCGCTCGAGCAGCGGCTGCCACTGGAGATGCCTTAAAATGCATCTTTCCGATTTTCACCCTTTCAGATCTTAAGAGCTTCTGCAGGGACTCCCGAAAAAGACCTTGACTCTTGAGGCCGGGACATTTTGCACAGGCTTTCTCACAGGCTTAGCGCTATGTTCTTTGCAAACTGCTAAATCCTTCAACCTCTGCATTTTGTTTTGAAGTCATAAATTTCTCTCCAGGTTTCTTGGAGCAGAGAAACCAAGCACAGCATGTTTTATTTGTGAACAACTGGAAGAAAGCAACCTTACTGCCAAACTAAAAAAAATATTGTAGCTTTCATTGGTGTTGCGTTTTACATAAAGATATGCGCTGGCTGCCAGATGTGGGTATGTGCAATAGAATTAAAATAGTTTAATCCCCAGCACTGCACTGGTTTTCTGGTCTAAAAATATCTCAACAGGGCTATGAGTTGGACTGAGTAAACCAAATACAATTAGAGGATATGAATGGAACAACCCTTGCTGAGTTCCAGAAATTCGGTTGTGTTCGTGTACTTGGGGGACATCTGCTTGCCTGTCCCCTGGCCCTTGCACTGATTTTCACTCTGCCAACTCAGCCCTACCACTCCCCCCAACAGGAAGGGGCAGGGGGGTGATGGGATCAGACAGACCACCTGGACTGCAGCCAGGCCCTGCCCTTACACATGTGTGTGTTCGGGGACAAGTCACTTCCTTCTCTGAGCCTTGACTCGCCTTGCAGGTGAGGGTAACAGGAGACCTCTTCCAGAGACGTGAGGGTCAAACAAGATGACAAAATGAAGCATTCATCTCAGTACCGGGCACTTCCTAAGCTCGCTGGATAGAAGCCTGCTGTCATGAGCGTCGCCTCTCTGGGCACGGACATGGCTTTGGAGGACAAGTTGATTGGTGGGATCCTTACAACCGTCAGTGTTTCTGAGCTAAACTACTCTGTAAGGGTCATTGCACTGAAAATGTTAAAGCCAACATGGGTTGCCTCAAAATTACTAAATATTTCTCACTCTGAAGAGCTTTGGAATTATCTGCAGAGTTTCAATAATTGGCTAGAAGTATTTCAAGTATATCAGTCTCTGGCCTTGTGTCACTCCCCCTTCATGGGTCCTAGGTTGGGTGTCCAGGCCCCCGCTGCCCCACATTCCCTGTGATAGGATGATGTTGAGATCAACTCAATGGCATACACACACACACACCAGAGACATTAAGTTTTGAGACTCATGTAGCTACTATAGCGTTTCTTCTTTCTAATGATTGTCTGAGTTCAAGTCCTCTTTCCTGAGTCTTCAACCAACTCTGTAATCGTGCCTCAATTTCCCCAGCAGTAAAATAGTGCTGAGCAAGGAGAAAGGCTATTTGTGTCAGAAAGATCTGTTTCTACTCTGCCCAAAGCCAAGTAACTTAGTCAAGGAAGCAGGAGCTTTGGACTGGGGGATGGGAAGGGGATCTGGTTTCAAATCCCAGCCTATTTTCTAGCTGTGTGGCCATTTCTTGGTCTGTTTTCTCCTTGTAACACCAAGTGGCAGACTGCTGTTGCTTATCATGTAGCTGTTTCATTTCTTTCTCTTTCTCTATTTTTTTCTCTTCTGTATTTTTTTTTTACCAGTAAAGACTTTTAACCAGTGAAAGGTTTTGTTTGGCACTAAAATGTGTTCAGATAAAAACGATCATCTTCCCAGCCTGCCATTTCATACAGTCTGGCCAGCTAGACATAGGTAGAAATTACTGACGAGAGTGAACAGGGAGATTGTATAAGAACAGACTGGGGGCTGGTGTTGTGGCACACATCACAGCCTCTGGTGATGCTGGCATCCCATGTCAGAGTGCAGGTTAGAGTCCTGGCTGCTCTGCTTCCAATCCAGCTGCCTGCAAAATGTGCACCCTGGGAGGCAGCAGAGGATGGCTTAAATACCTGAGCTCCTGCCAACCACATGTGACACCTGTATGGAGTCCTAGGCTCCCGGCTTCAGCCTGGTCCAGTCCTGACTGCTGGTAGCCATTTTGGGCATGAACTAGTCTCTGTCTTTCACAATGATGCTCTGCCTTTCAAAAATCAATCAATCAATCTTAGAAAAAAAAAAAAAAAGAACAGCTAGGCTTGTATTAAATTTTCATTTCCTGGCCAGTGCCGTGGCTAATCCTCCACCTTCGGCGTCGGAATCCCATATGGGCGCCGGGTTCTCGTCCCGATTGCTCCTCTTCCAGTCCAGCTCTCTGCTGTGGCCCGGTAAGGCAGTGGAGGACGACCCAAGTGCTTGGGCCCTGCACCATCATGTGAGACCAGGAAGAAGCACCTGGCTCCTGGCTTCGGATCAGCATAGCTCTGGCCGTAGCAGCCATTTGCGGGGTGAACCAATGGAAGGAAGACCTTTTTCTCTGTCTCTCCCTCTCACTGTCTGTAACTCTACCTGTCAAATAAATAAAATAATAAAAAAATTTTCATTTCCTTTTCTCCTGTTTCTCCCCTTGCCCCTTGGAAATTGCATCTAATGCCTGGAGGGGCAGCAGCCATCCCAAATCATGAGGTGGCAACCCTGAAGATGAAGGCTTCAACATCAAGGCTGGCAGAGAAGAAAGTTGGAAAGGCCCAGTGTCTGATGGCCTCCAGAGCTCCTAGGAAGCCCCAGGCCGCCCACCCCTGCACTTCTTATTTTTCCAGAAAAATCTCTCTCTCCCTCATCTTATTCAGAACAAATATACATGGGAACTAGTGTGATATTTTCCAGGGCACGGTGTGAGCACAGAGGACAGGTGTATGGAGCACTCAGCGTGACTGCCAGCACACGGCTGACTCCAGTTGCTGTGTGTTCCCTTCCCCCCTTTCTCATCTTCCCATTATGGATTCTCCTTGCTACAGGCAAATATCAAGGTGTGGGGGCCATGTCAGATATTTTCCTTTCAATGTTGTTAGTCCCTAAGTCTGAGCTGCCCAACTAGAAGTGACCCCATGTGCAATACGACTTCCAAAGCAAATAGGTTTTCAAGCTGCCTCCTTAGAGCAGAGTCGCGGGGGAGAGGAAGCTATCGGCCACGTGTTCTCTGAACCACACAGAGCATTACAAGCTTTATGATGAATTCTGACCTTCACATTTCGGAAAGGACGTCTCTTCTTAGAGCAGAGTCTGAAAATCACTGCCATACTCACTATGTGTGTTCAGCTTAGGAAAGATTTTATTTGTATTTTTTTTATAATGAGAAGTAGTGTGGGAGATTCCATCTAATGAGATAATACTCAAGATGTGATTTTTTTTCTATTTGTTTTTAAAGATTACTTATTTGAAAGGTGGAGAGGTGGGGGCAGGGGGGAGACACATACACACACACGCACACACACACAGAGTGAGGGAGGGGGAGAGAGAGAGAGAGGTCTTCCATTCACTGGTTTACTCCCCAAATGGCTACAATGGCAGGGACTGGGCCAGGCCCAAGCCAGGAGCCTGGAACTTTATCCAGGCGTTCCATGTGGGTGGCTGAGACCTGGGTACTTCGGCCATCTTCTGTTGTTTTCCATGCTCATCAGCAGGGAGCTGAATCAGTGGTGGAGCAGCTGGGACTCAAACTAGCGCTTGTATGGGATACCAGTGCCACAGGTAAAGGCTTGATCTGCACCACAGTGCTGGCAAAAAGATGTGACTTCTCTAATTTGACAGGCACAGCCAGAGACAGTGTTCCCATCATCTGGTTCACTCCCCAAATGCCCACAATGGCTGGGCTTGGGCCAGGGGAGGTGGGAACTCAACACAGGTCTCCTTTATGGGGGGCATTCCCTGAAAAGACAAGAATGAGAGGACCGGCACCCTCTCTCAGGTTGTCTGGAGAGGTGCCCATCTGTTCTTATGGATGTCCCTACCCTAATAAACCTTGCTATTTTGCTTTCCACTGCTCTCTGTCTCACGCCTGAATTCTTCCTTGAGTGAAGACAAGGACCCTTTGCTTCGGCACTGTGGCATAGTGGGTTAAAGCCCCAGACTGCAGCGCTGGCATCCCATATGGGCACTGGTTCGAGTGCCTGCTGCTCCTCTTCCGATCCAGCTCTCTGCTATTGCCTGGGAAGGCAGTAGAAGATAGCTCAAGTCCTTGGGCCCCTGCACTCACGTGGGAGACCTGGAAGAAGCTCCTGGCTCCTGGCTTCGGATCAGCTCAGCTTTGGCAGTTGCAGTCATTTGGAGAGTGAAACAGCGGAATGGAAGACCTCTCTCTGCCTCTCATTTTCTCTCTCTATAACTCTGACTTTCAAATAAATAAAATAATTCTTAAAAAAAAAGGAATGAGAGGACCATGGTAGCTTTCTTCAAATATCACTTTGGTCCCAGGGGAGACCTGGAAGATCATTAGCTATGTGGACTTGGAGACAGCAACTTCCGAAGTCCTTTCCAACTCCTGCCTAGATGAATTGTGGGTCATGGGCTTTGAGCAGATATTAAGTGAATTAACTAAATAAATAAAGACTTACCCCTAGGGGAGGAGTTTGGCTTAGTGGTTAAGATACCAGTTAAGATGTGTGTGTCCCACATCAGACTGCTTGAGTTCAGTACCTAACTCCACTGCTGACTTCTTTTTCCTGCTAGTGTAGACCCTTGGGAGCCCATGGTAATGGCCCAAGTGATTGAGTTCCTGCCACCCATGCCACCCACACAGGACACCTACATTGAGTTCCTGGTTCTTAGCTTCTACCCCAGAGGCCACTTCAGGCATTTGAGGAATGAACCAGCAGAAAAGAGTGCTCTCTCTCTTTCTCTCTCTCTCCCCTGCCACCCCTTTCTCCTTCTCCCTCTCCCTCTGAGTGTGTGTGTGTGTGTGTGTGTATCTGCCTCTCAAATATTTTTTATGCTAGAAAGAACTACCCTTGTTTTTTTATAGTTTTATAACTTTATTTGACAATCAGGAGCTAGTTCTCATCCACATTGACTGTAGGATTTTGAGAGTATTGATGGGTACGTAGGTAACCAAAGTATATTGCTTGTCTGGTGAATCTTAGTCCTCATTATGTTTTCTGGGCAATCTCGTGCAGATGCGCTGTGGGGTGTTCCTTATTCCTTTGTTGATCCTGGCACTGGTGCATACACCTGGAGTGCCCATCTTCTTCTTGGCACATATCCAGACTTCTGAGTGCCTGAAGGCCATGCTTCCTGAAGCCAAAGATATGGATGCACTTGTGAATGTTGACAGTGTACTCCTGGCACATACTTCATTGATGGCAGAATGTTTCTTCTTCTTACCGCCATTCTTTGAAGAAGCCATCTGCAAGGGCTCAAGTTGGAAAAGTATCCCTGATATTTCTATAGAAAAATACAGTCCACAGCACCTAACTTATTGGTGGAGACATACCTATGTCAGCACCGCAAGGAGTAACCTGTCTTTGAAATCCAGCCGATGAGTCTCTTTGTGTGAAAATGCCCAGGGAAAACAACAACCTGCCCCAATCTAAATCCAAAAACAGTGGCTGCACAACTGAAATCACTAAGACCAGGGGGACTAACATTTGTGAAAGTCATGTTTATGAGCATCTTGTTCTATTTCCACGGAGTGAACATCACACATCTTTGGCATCTCCTATAAGTAGTCTGTTCTGCCAGCCAAGAACACACAGAATGGAGACTGGTCTCTCAGCAATTGCATGTTGGTTGTATTTGAAGCTATTAAATCTTGAACACATGGAAAAGAATATGTCATAATGCTACCAGTGGAGAAAAGAAAGTGCACACAAAATCTAATGTGAAGACAGCATGTTGGGAAATGAAGCAAAAGGGAATTTTTCATTACTTGCATCTGGGTTTTATGTTGCAATAAAAAGTATCTGGCTACCACAGTTGGTTTTATGTACACCTCGTCTATAACTACCTAAGCACTCCATTGGGCTAGAATTTAATCAAATATCCTGGTTTCTAGTTAGTAGATTTGTGGCAAGCATCAGTAATAAAAAAAGCTGAAATATTCCTTCCTTAGACTCAATAAATGTTCCCTTCTCAAATTCAGGTTGAAAAGAAGGAATTCGCTGACGGAGACAGGGAATGTGTTCTCTCACTTTTGTTTTTCAACTTACACAACACATTTATTTTATTGAGGACTCTTGCATTCAATTTGAAGATTCACAGCCTTGGAATTTATTTTTGAAGTGATTTTGAAAAAGAAGCAGCACATCATTTTAATGAATTTTTTTCTGTGATCAATAAAAGTCAGCCTTAACTTTACCCATCATTCTTCACTCCTACACCTTGCCCCAACTTCACATTTTGTTCAAACTTGTCAAATTGCAAGTAAAATCCTACTTCCCAAAATACAAGAAACTTTGAAAAATGAAATTAAGCCACAAAAGTTTGACAATGAGGAAAGGAACAAGATTTACTTGTATATGTTCTTTATGATTTATTTGGAACATCTAAAAGGCCCTTTACTTGTGTGTGTGCAAAATTTTTTAAAAATACTATAAGAATAGGTAGCTCATAAACTCCTTTGGAGAAGGCAGGAAGAGGTAATGTGAAAATAAATTAGCTTCTTAAACCCACAGCTGCACCCTCTCTCACCTAACAGGGTCTGTAACCTAAACTTTTGCAGGCTTCAAGAAGGATAGTGGAGAGTTTGGTTTACAAGGAACTGGATCCATTTTATTCAGCACTTGTCAGACAACACCTAAAGTCTTGTGTTTGGCTAATGTTCTTTAGTGTTTGCATAAGGCTTTCATATGTATCCTTTTAGTGGAGAGATATTACCCTTGTGCTACTGATGAACAGAGATTCTGAGACATCCATTACTTTCCCAATGTGATGTAATCATCCCAGAGTCTTAGGGTTAGAAGAGACCAAGGAAGTCATCCAGACAATGAGGGAGAGTAATGGATTTGAGATCAGAAGGTCTCCCAGCCTCCTGATCCCATGCTTGAACCTTATAGCCCATGTCCTTTCAGCCTATTCCTCTTGCTAGGAGATTTCAAATTCTCCCTGGGCCAGAGGTCCCTCAGGCCTCTTCACTCCTCTTCTCCCACCTTCACCCACAGATATACAGCACAGTAAAGAGTTATGCAAGCTGAGTGTAAGTCCTAGATCTACACTAACATTGTGTCAACTTAGGTGTGTCTCTTAACTTCGCCATGTCTCATCAGCTGGGAATGACAGCAGTACTTATCTCATGGGCTCATGCTGTGAGTGTTCAATGAGATGATACATGGACATCTTTCAATAGCACAGAATAAGCAACTATTGAGTTTTCAGCTTGATTACTTCTGCCATCACCTAGTTTAGCCCTACATTATTACTCCTTAGAAACCATACTGATCTCCTAACTAGTCTTCCCACATCCATTTGTACTCTGTCCAATTTATTCTCCATACTAGAGTTGAGTGAACTTCCTAAAATATAAATCTAGTCAATAAAGAAAGAAATAGAAGAGGATAACAAAAAATGGAAAAATCTTCCATGCTCATGGATTGGAAGAATCAACATCATCAAAATGTCCATTCTCCCAAAAGCAATTTATAGATTCAATGTGATACCAATCAAGATACCAAAGACATTCTTCTCAGATCTGGAAAAAAATTATGCTGAAATTCATATGGAAGCACAGGAGACCTTGAATAGCTAAAGCAATCTTGTACAACAAAAACAAAGCCGGAGGCATCACAATACCAGATTTCAGGACATACTACAGGGCAGTTGTAATCAAAACAGCATGGTACTGGTACAGAAACAGATGGATAGACCAATGGAACAGAATATATTGAAACACCAGAAATCAACCCAAACATCTCAGCCAACTTATATTTGATCAAGGATCTAAAAGCAATTCCTGGAGCAAGGATAGTCTATTCAATAAATGGTGCTGGGAAAACTGGATTTCCACGTGCAGAAGCATGAAGGAAGACCCCTACCTTACACCTTACACAAAAATCCACTCAACATGGATTAAAGACCTAAATCTACGACCCGACACCATCAAATTATTAGAGAACATTGGAGAAACCCTGCAAGATATAGGCACAGGCAAAGACTTCTTGGAAAAGACCCAGGAGGCAGAGGCAGTCAAAGTCAAAATTAGCTATTGGGATTGTATCAAATTGAGAAGTTTTTGTACGGCAAAAGAAACAGTCAGGAAAGTGAAGAGGCAACCGACAGAATGGGAAAAAATATTTGCAAACTATGCAACAGATAAAGGGTTAATAACCAGAATCTACAAAGAGATCAAGAAACTCCACAACATCAAAACAAACAACGCATTTAAGAGATGGGCCAAGGACCTCAATAGACATTTTTCAAAAGAGGAAATCCAAATGGCCAACAGACACATGAAAAAATGTTCAGGATCACTAGCAATCAGGGAAATGCAAATCAAAACCACATTGAGGTTTCACCTCACCCCGGTTAGAATGGCTCACATTCAGAAATCTACCAACAACAGATGCTGGAGAGGATGTGGGGGAAAAGGGACACTAACCCACTATTGGTGGGAATGCAAACTGGTTAAGCCACTATGGAAGTCAGTCTGGAGATTCCTCAGAAACCTGAAGATAACCCTACTATATAACCCAGCCATCCCACTCCTTGGAATTTACTCAAAGGAAATTAAATTGGCAAACAAAAAAGCTGTCTGCACCTTAATGTCTATTGCAGCTCAATCCACAATAGCTAAGACCTGGAATCAACCTAAATGCCCATCAACAGTAGACTGGATAAAGAAATTATGGGATATGTACTCTATAGAATACTATACAGCAGTAAAAAAAAAAAAAAAAAAAAAAAAACAAGGAAATCCAGTCATTTGCAACAAAATGGAGGAATCTGGAAAACATCATGCTGAGTGAAATAAGCCAGTCCCAAAGGGACAAATATCATATGTTCTCCCTGATCGGTGACAACTAACCGAGCACCAAAAAGGAAACCTGTTGAATGAAATGGACACTATGAGAAACGGTGACTTGATCAGCCCTTTCCCTGACTGTTGATGAACAACTTAATACTTTATCCCTTTTAGTATTTTTTTGTTCTACTTAATACTATTGGTTGAACTCTGTAATTAATACACAATTATTCTTAAGTGTTGAAACTTAACTGAAAAGTGATCCCTGTTAAATATAAGAGTGGGAATAAGAGAGGGAAGAGATGTACAGTTTGGGACATGCTCAATCAGACTTGCCCCAAACGATAGAGTTAGAAACATGCCAGGGGATTCCAATTCAATCCCATCAAGATTGCATGTACCAATGCCATCTCACTAGTCCAAATGATCAATTTCAGTTCACAATTGATCATAATGATAAGACTAAGAGTCAAAGGGATCACATAAACAAGACTAGTGTCTGAAAATACTAACCAATAGAATAAAAAAAGAGAGAGAGAACGATCCAACATGGGAAGCAAGATACTCAGCAGACTCGTAGAATGGCAGACATCCTAAACAGCACTCCGGCCTCACAATCAGCCCTTAAGGCATTCGGATCTGGCTGAAAAGCCCATGAGAGTATTTCAGGCATGGAAAGCCAAGACACTCTGGCAAAAAAAAAAAAAAAAAAAACTAAATGAAAGATCTCTGCAAGTGAGATCCCAGTGGAAAGAACAGGTCATCAAAGAAGGAGGTACCTTTCTCTGAAGGGAAGAGAGAACTTCCACTTTGACTATGAACTTGTCTAAATAAGATCAGAGTTGGCAAACTCAAAAGGCCTCCATAGCCTTGGCAACTCATGATGAGAGCCTAGGGTGATTACTGACACCATAAACAAGAGTGTCAATTTGTTAAGTCAACAATAGGAGTCACTGTGCACTTCCTCCTCATGTAGGATCTCTGTCCTTAATGTGTTGTACATTGTGATTTAATGCTATCACTAGTACTCAAACAGTATTTTACACTTTGTGTTTCTGTGTGGGTGCAAACTGTTGAAAGCTTTACTTAATATATGCTAAATTGATCTCCTGTATATAAAGAGAATTGAAAATGAATCTTGATGTGAATGGAAGGGGAGGGGAGTGGGAGAGGGGAGGGTTGCGGGTGGGAAGGAAGTTATGGGGGGGAAAAGCCATTGTAATTCATAAGCTGTACTTTGGAAATTTATATTCATTAAATAAAGGTGTAAAAAAACATTAGTAGCATCCACTGACTTTAAAATAATGGCCAAATCTCTTAGCAAGGCCCAAAACATCATGCATGGTCTGGCCCAGCTCACCAGTCTCTAGCCTTGGCCCAGAGCAACTCCCTGTCATTCAGCTCTGGCCACACTGAACTTCTACCATTGCCCACAGCTTTGAGGATCTGCCCCCTACAGAATGTCAGATTGCTCACGCCATCCTACCTGCTCTCAGAGGCCCATTCACATCCTTCATAGCATTAGCCCCATTTGCAGTTTTGTGTTTGTGTAGTTACTATACTTACAGTCTGTCACTAACCCTTAAGGGCCTTGAGGGTTTACTTACTGCTATTCCCTACATCGAACATGGGGCCTGCATTGTTTGGTGTTCACATTATATGTGTTAAATGAATAAAAGGTGTTGTGGGGACATTTTCAGATTTCTGAGTGTCTTTGGGTAGGTTTACTCCAAGGTCCCTACTCTCTCTGAGATCAGGTAATTCCATGCTTCTTGTCTATCCCCCCACCCCCTCCCTGGATGTCTCAGGAGGGCTCTTAGATGAGTACTCAGGAGACTTGCTGCAAACTTCTTCAGATTTATGAACAGATGAGTCAGAGACATAGAAAATATGTAAATTATCACCCTGACATTATCTTTCTCCCCACCACCAACACACGTTATTTAGAGCAAATTAATTAGCATTTCTAAACCTATTTTTTCATTATAAAAGTTCTTAGAGTTGGTAGAGACCTCAATTATATTTCTAGATATAAGTCCAACACATAAAAAATAAAATTAGACCAGCCACAAATAAGTTAAATTATAACTATAAAAAGATATAAGAGCAATGTGACAATATAAGGTACCTATGAATCATCTTAACACATCTATGTAAGATCTTTGTGGAGAAAATTTAGACGTTTTATCAAAAGATATTGAAGGAGACTTAAGTGATAATAGAAATAGACCACACTCATGAACTCAGTACAATCCCAAATTCTAGAAATTTTTATGGATTGGACAAGCTAATACTGGAATTAGATGAAAAGACAGTGGGCCAAGAATAATCAAGACAATTTTGAAAAAGAATCAGGAAATGAAAGCATGGAGGAAAGAAGGTGCCCATAATTGCCTACAGCAATTAAGACAATGTGGTTTGCCACAGAGAGAGAACAGAGCAGTCAAAAAGAATGGAGAGTTCAGAAAGAGATCCTTGCATCTTTAGAAATAATATTTAACAAAATTAAGACCGAAGATGAGAGAGGAAAGGATGGTTGAATCAGTAAAACTGTGCTGGAATAACTGGGAATCTGTATGGAAAAAAATGAAAAGAGATCCTCACTTCCTTAAAGCCCCTAAAATTATTTCCAGATGAATTAAGACATAAAAGTGAAACACAAATCTGTAAAAATTTTAGAAGGAAATACCGAAGAATAGCTTCTTGAAGAATTTCTGAAGCCTGACACAAAGTTCAGCCCTTAAAGGAGAAGATTTATAAATGTGACATCATGGAAATCTCAACGTATTAATGAATACAGGGTCTCAGTGGGGAAGGACCAGAAAGTCCTGGACATAGATGCTGGTGATGCACAGCCACATGGCTGCACTTAATGCCACAAAACTGCACCTAAAGATGGGTAAAATGCTGTGTATGTGTTGCCGTAGCTTGAAAGACATTCCAACACTATTTAAAAAGTGAAAAGTTACAAGTTGGAAGAAAAATACTTTCGTGAGTATCCACAATATACAAGAAGCCAAACAAATAAGTAAAAAGAGACAAAAAGGGAAAGTAAAGAATCCGTAAGCCCCATAAAGAGGCAATGCATGCAAAACAAAGTCCCTGTGATCATAAGCAGCCATGCTTCCTCATCTCCAGGGAGCTGTGAACAAACACCTCCACAAGGCATTTCACACCTTCCATGGCGGCAAAACTTAAAATGTCCGACAGTGCTAAACATTGGCTGGAATCTGAAAAATGCGAACTCCTACCCCTGTTGGTAGCTGGTATAGAACCCTTTAAAACTCACGCTGGCGGGTGTCTGACTGCAATGGACTGAACGTTGATGTATCCCACAAGTCATGCATTGAAATCCTAGCCTCCAAGTGTGTGGCATCAGGAAGTGGGGCCTTTGGGAGGTCATGAGGTCATGAGGGCAGAGTCCTCCTGAATGGGATTAGGGTCCTGATAAAGGAGACCACCCCAGAGAGCTTGTCTGCCCCTTCCACTGTATGTAGGCACAGCAAGAAGGTGCCCTCTGTGAACTAGAAATGGGACTCTCACCAGACAGCAGGTCTGCTGGCATCTTGATATTAGCTTTCCCAACCCACAGGACGATGAGAAGTAAATTGTTGTTGTTTAGAAGCCACCCAGTCCAGGGAATTTTGTTACAGAAGCCCAAACAGACTCCAGAGAGCTAAACCCTAAGACTCAGCAATCCCTCCCCTACGTAGACATCTTCCAGAAACTCTTGTTCCTCTGTCCAACACAAAGTGATCACTGACAAAGCCAGCGATGAAAAACCTAATTGTTCATCAACAGACATATAAGTACATTATAATATTGTCATATTACAGGATACACTCCAGTAACGAAATAAATCAACAAAGTGGGACTATTTGTGTTAGTCTGATACAGCTTAAAAGTTTAAAAATGAAAGCCAATCTCAAAAAAATTCATACAATAGCCCATTAAATAACATTTTTAAATCAGCAAAGCAACAGAGTGGGTTGTATAGAGATTCTTAGAAATGTTATGAAAGTATGAAGACCTCTAAGGGAATGGTAAACACCAAAACCAGTTCAGTGGCTAATTCAGCACGAGGAAGGTGGATGTGTGTCTCTCTGCATTTTTGTGTATCTGAACTATTTCATAGCAAACATTTTAAAAATTTATTTATTTATTTAAAAGAGTGGAGAGAGAGAGAGAGAGCGCACTTCCATTTGCTGGTTCACTCTCCAAATGACCACAACAGCTGGGACTGGGCCAGGCTGAAACCTGGAGCCAAGAATTCCATCCTAGTCTGCCACATGGGTGGCAGGGGTCTTGGGCCTTCTTCCCAGGTGCATTAGCAGGGAGTTGGATCAGAAGCAAAAGCAGCCGGTATCACAAGGGGCAGCTTAATCTGTACCACAAAGCTACCCCCTCATAATAAACCTTTTAAAAATACATATTTGGAGTGACTGATCCAACTTGAAATACAAGAGCTGCCATGTGGAGTTTTATGGGGGTTCCTAAGCTGGTGCACTGCTTAGAATAAAGTCCAGTTTCCTGTCCCCTTTCTGGGCTCAGAGGTTCCCTTAGCGCCCTTGTTGGGCATTCGCTGAGCATGTTCTCAATGGACCCCAGCAAGCACTCAGGCCAAAAAGTTCAAAAGCACAGGCTTTGCCTGTAGTCCTAGGTACTGTGGACAAGAACCTTTATCCTTCCATGGGGAGCTAGAAGGAGAATAAGGTAATAAGAATAGAATGGGTCAAAGGGACCCCAACTTCAGCTGTAAGGCAAGCATCATTACAGATGACCTTGTGCTACTCCGGCTAGAAAGAGAACTGGAGCTGTTGTTCTTTACAGTAGGTGAGCAGATAGAGCCCCTTTGCCCCACGTAGCCCCAGAAGTGGAGGCAAGCAAGGAATGGCTGCACTGCCTTCTCTTTCCCCTCCCCACCACACACCTACCTTTCAGCCATTGCCAATGGGGGCGTATGTCTCTTGACATGAGCTATGAGATAACATGTCCACACAGGGTCTGCTCCTGAAGTTCTCTCTACCATCTCATGAGCCCTGCTCCTTCTCAGAGCATACAGAGCTAGTAGTCTTGAGAAAGAAGAGCTACCATCAAGACGTGGCCAATAAAACAAAGGAACACAGGGGCCGGTGATATAGCATAATGGGTTAAGCCGCTGCCTGTGACGCCAGCATCCCATATGGGCACTGAGTTCTGGCTGCTCCATTTCCAATCCAGCTCGCTACTATTGCACCTTGGAAAGCAGCAGAGGATGGCCCAAGTGCTTAGGCTCCTGCACCCATGTGGGAGACCTGGAAGAAGCTCCTGGCTCCTGGTTTCAGCCTGGCCCAGCACTTGTTGTTGTGGCCATTTAGGACTTAAACAGCAGATTTAAAATATCCCTCTCTCTCTGTAACTGCCTTTCAAACAAATAAATAAATCAAAAAAGGAAAGAAAGGAGCCAGCACCATGGCTCACTTGGTTAATCCTCCGCCTGTGGCACCGGCATCCCATATGGGTGCCGGGTTCTAGTCCCAGTTGCTCCTCTTCCAGTCCAGCTCTCAGCAGTGGCCCAGGAGGGCAGTGGAGGATGGATCAAGTGTTTGGGCCCCTGCACCCACATGGGAGACCAGGAAGAAGCACCTGGCTCCTGGCTTCAGATCGGCACAGTGCCGGCAGTGGTGGCCATTTGGGGAGTGAACCAACAGAAGGAAGACCTTTCTCTCTGTCCCTCTCTCTCACTGTCTATAACTCTACCTGTCAAATAAATTTAAAAAAGAAAAAGAAAAAGAAAAAGAAAAAGAGAAAGGAAGGAAGGAAGGAAGGAAGAAAGGAAGGAAGGAAGGAAAGTAACTCAGGCCAGATGTGACAGTAGACATATGTTAGGGTTGCCAAGGGAAGGGCACTGTTAGCAGTATAGAGTTTTTTCAAAGTCAGTTTATTTATTTATTTTCATCTACTTGAGAGCCAGGGAGAGGAGAATGAGAGCACTTTCTTTCATTGGTTACTACCCAAATGTCTTCAATAGCCAGAGCTGGACCAGGACAAAGCCAGGAGCCCATAATTCCATCAGGATCTACCACATGGGTGTCAGGGTCCCAAGTGCTTGAACCATCAGCTGCTGCCTCCCAGGATACATTAGCAGGAAGTTGGACTGAAAGCAGAGTAGTTGGGATTCAAACCAGTGCTCGAATAAGGGATGTGGCATCCCCAAGTAGCAGTGCCACAGTGCCTGCCCCATGGATATTTGTTGAGCATTTGTCCATTTGGTCCCTTGGTGAAACCGATATCTCTTACCCATCAATATGAGACACTGCCCTCTGGTTTCCTTCCACCCAGACTAGAAAGCACCTGTCAGGGCAGAACCCATCTCCTAGGCTTAGCTTCTGCCATGGGATGAAAACTGAAGACCTTCATAAGAGTTTGTTCTCACTCTCTGTCTCAGTGTAGCCCTGACCCAAATGCAGGGAAGGGAGGAGGGTGGAGAGAGACACTCCCGGTGAAAAAGAGAGGTGAGGGTGCCAGGGAGAGGAAGCCCCATCGGCTGCCTGCTGTGCTGCAAGAGGCCAACACCAGGGAAGTAGCTACCCCAGCCACTCACAATCTACCCCCTATCCCTCGCCTTTTTGTCACTCAGGGTGAAGGGCACCGGCTCCGGCCCCACACTGCCTGGATCAGGGCCCAGTCACACCACTTACCAACTCTGAGCGCCGGTGAGTTTTGAAGCCTTTGATGGCCTCAGTTTCCTCCTTGCCCCCAAAAAGCTACAATAGAAACCATGGCACCTGCCTCACCCTCACGGCCAGGGGGTGAACTGAGTCAGGAGGAGCCAAGCTTGGAGCAGTGGCGTAGAAGGAGTGCAGTGGCAGTAGGGAGGGCTCACAGGACAGAATTTACTGCAGTGCCCAGCGTCCTCACTGTGAACCCAGGCCTGGCAAGGATCAGCAAATTGGTGTACAGTTTCTGTGCTGGAAAGCTTGGAGTCAAGGTGCCTGGTTTGCAAAAGTGATGTTTATTGGCTGCTTTTCATCATGTACAGGCATCATCAGTCATTCCATGTGCATGCTAAGCATCAATTATTCCACAGTGCATTCCATTCATTTTTATTGGAATTTTTGGTTGTGTCTTCATTTCCAGCAATTGTAAATAATGCACACAGCTAGCAGAGGAGCAGTAGACATGGCCATGGCCATCAGGGCCTAGGTTTTTTCTCTGCTGCTTCCTAGTGGTATGACCATGGGCAAGCTACTTCGACTCTCCAAGCCTCACTTTCAGTATCTACATAATTACCTTCCTACTTCATCAAGTTCTTAGAAGAGCTCAGGGAAACCACAGATATGTCTTTAAAAATTCCATATGTATTTGCTTATTATGAGTTAATGCATAGTATTTTCTTAAGATTTTTGTATTTATTTATTTGAAAGGCAGAGATTTGAAGAGAGAAGGAGAGAAAGAGAGACAGAATCTTCCATCTGTTTGTTCACTCTCCAAAGGACCAGGTTGGGCCAGACTGAAACCAGAAGCCAGGAGCTTCTTCCTGGTCTCCCTTGTGGGTGCAGGAGCCCTAGTACTTGAGCCATCTTCTGCTGCTTTCCCAGGCACATTAGCAGGGAGCTGGATCGGAAGAGGAGCAGCCGGGATTCCAACCGACACTCATATGGGATGTTGACACTGCAGGAGAAGGCTTAACCTTCTATGCAAGAGCGCCAGCCCCAGTATTTTATTTTTTTAAAGATTTTTTTATTTATTTATTTGAAAGAGTCACACACACACACACACAGAGCGAGAAAGAGAGAGAGAGAGAGAGAGAGAGAGAGAGAGATTTTCCATCAGCTGGTTTGCTCCCCAAATGGCCAGAATGACTAGGGCTAGGAATGGTGGAAGCCAGGAGCCTGAAACTCCATCTAAGTCTCCCACATGGATGGCAGGGGCCCGTACTGGGCCATCTTCTGCTTCCTTCCAAGATGCATTAGCAGGGAATGGAATCCGAATTGAAGGAGAGGTTTAACCTGCTGCACTACACCACCACCACCACCACCCCTCATTTTAACACCTGTTCCTCAGGACTTCCTTAGTGAGAAAAGAGGGTTCCAACATCCTCAGGTTCAAAGTAAGTGAGAGCTGCAGGTACTGGCCGAGTTCAGCAGCCAGAACAAGGCAGTGCTGGGGTGATCAGATCCCAGAGCCACCTTCTTCCCTGGGCACTCAGGGAGCAGGGGTGTTGAGTGCCCTTGTTATGATGGTGCTATCATAGTGTTGTGACAGCATCCTTAGGAGGCCAAAGGACATGCTGAGCCACTTCTGTTTCTTTGAAGCTCCTAGAAACATAAGAAAATGCTAATATAAGGTTTTTAAAAGTGTAGTGTATTTTAAATGTTTATACTTAACAAATTCATACTAGTAAATGTTTATTAAAAAATTACAATGCAATTCTTTCAGGAACAATAGACATAACAGAGAAGCCCCAGGCTGTTTCCCACAGAAGCTGTTCTGAGACTCCTGCATTCCACTACAGAACTCACTAGTGCCTTGGGTCAGGGATTGGGAAGCTGGGGAGAGCTCCCCTGAGAGCCTTGGGAGCCGAGCCCTGAGCTTGTCAATCTCCTCCAGGCTAGTTTCGGTGATAGAACATGAATGCTACTGGTGCTGACTTGGCATGCAAAGTAAATACCGAATGTCACAGTGTAAATGTTAACATTTTAAGATCCTGGAAATAACTGCCATCCGTTTATTTCAAATGCACACTCAGGTAGCTGGTTGTTATTTTAGATCCCAAACAGATTTTTTTTAAGATGTATTTTTTTTTTTATTTCAGAGGCAGAGTTACGGAGAGGCAGAGATGGAGAAAGAGGTCCTCCATCCACTGGTTCACTCCGCAGGTGGCCACAACGGCTGGAGCCCCACAGATCCAAAGCCAGGAGCCAGGAGCCTCCTCTGGGTCTCCCATGTGGGTGCAGGGGCCCAAGTACTTGGGTCATCTTCCATTGCCTTTTACACTTTTTAAACAGGTGTCATCTTACTTGTTCATGGATACCAAGGCTAAAGTTACTACTACCTCCCCACCCTCTTTAAAAATGAAGATACAGAGGCTGGCTTTATAGCGCAGTAGGTTAAGCCTCCACCTACAGTGCCAGCATTCCATATGGGCATGGGTTCTATGTTTTAGTCCCGGCTGCTCCTCTTCTGATCCAGCTCTGTGCTATGGCCTGGGAAAGCAGTAGAAGACGGCCCAGGTGCTTGGGGCCCCTGTACCCATTTGGGACACCCAGAGGAAGCTTCTGGCTCCTGGCTTAGGATCGGCCCAGCTCCGGCCACTGCAGTTGTTTGGGAAGTGAACCAGCAGAGGGGAAGCCCTTTCTGTCTCTCCCTCTCACTGTCTGTAACTCTACCTCTCAAATAAATAAATAAAATCTTTTTTAAAAAATGTAGATATAGAATAGAATTCAGTAATATTTTATTAAGCAAATCCTTTCTGCAAAGTCCTGTATTTGGGGCTGTAACAATGACAGTGGCCTAACAACAGCCACTTATTTAGCACATACCCTGCACCAAGGCAGCCACGGTGCTTCGCATACATTATTTAATCTTCATAACAATCCAAGAAGGTTGGTTTGTTCTTATCATCATTTAAAATCAGGAAATGGATGCTCAAAGCACAGGTCTGATGGATTCTAGATCTGTTGTCTTGTCCTTGGGAATCTGCTCCTATTGTAAGGTCCAAGTTGAAGTGCAGGTCAAATAGTCCTTTTATAATTTAGCTTTCTCACCTATAAAGTAGGAGTGTTAGGCTAGATTATTCCCAAGTTCCCTTCAAAGTTCTAACTTTCCATCACAGAGATATACATTTCCTAAGACATGGTCATTTGTCTTTCAAATAACACTTTCCTGTGAACTTCTGTATTTTATAACTTTTCATGGATGTTTATAGCTACGTAGAAAAAAGTGTATACATCTTGATGAATGAATCAAATGAATATGCACATGTAACCAGTACCTAGAAGAGAACCACGAGTTTCTGTTTTAATTTCACAGAGATGTTGCCATTAGTAAATTCATTTAAGTAATATTCATTGGACATCTACACTGTGCCGAAAAAGATGCAGAGCCAAGAGAGTGAGAAGATAAGACACAACCCGCAAAAAATATTTGCAAAAAACACATTTAACAAAGACTGGTATCCAGAATATACAAAGAACTCTTAAAACTCAACAGAACTCTTAAAACTCAACAACAGTAAAATGAATAACATAATTTACAAATAGACAAAAGATATGAGCAGACATTTCATGAAAAAGATGTACAGATGGCACAACAGCATATGAAAAAATGTCCAGTGCCATATGTCACTGGGAAACTACAAATTAAAATAACAGTGAGAAGCCCTACATACCTACTAGCATGAGGAAAAACAGAAACATCAACACCAAATTCTGGAGAACAACAAGAACTCTCATCTATTGCTTTTTTTTTTTTTTAATTTATTTGACAGGCAGAGTGGACAGTGAGAGAGACAGAGAGAAAGGTCTTCCTTTTCCATTGGTTCACCCTCCAATGGCTGCCGCGGCTGGCGCGCTGCAGCCGGCGCACCGCGCTGATCCAAAGCCAGGAGCCAGGTGCTTCCTCCTGGTCTCCCATGGGGTGCAGGGCCCAAGCACTTGGGCCATCCTCCACTGTACTCCCGGGCCACAGCAGAGAGCTGGCCTGGAAGAGGGGCAACCGGGACAGAATCCGGCACCCCAACCGGGACTAGAACCCGATGTGCCGGCGCCACAAGGCGGGGGATTAGCCTACTGAGCCTCGGCGCCGGCCTCATCCATTGCTTTTGAGAATGCAAAATGGCACAGCCACTGTGGAAGACAGCTTGGCAGCTTTTTACAAAACCAAACTCACTTGCTATATGATCCAGCAATCATGCCTCTTAGCATTTACCCAAGGAAGCTGAAAATTTACATCCGCACAAAAAATCTGCATATCACTGTTTATAGAAGTTTTATTCATAATTCCCCAAACTTGGAAGCAACCAAGATGTCCTTCTATAAGGGAAAGGCTAAGCCATAGTACATCCTGACCACAGACTACTGTTCAGCTGCTAAAAGAATGAGCGATCAATCATAAAAAGACATGGAAGAAACAGATGCCTATTAATAAGTGAAAGAAGTCAACTTAAAAAAAAAGCTACACACTGCATGATTTAAGCTATATGATATTCTGGAAAAGGCAGAACTTTGGGACAGTAAAAAGGTTAGGAGTTGGAAGGGAAGGTGGAGAAATATGGAGTACAGAGGGTTTTTCGACAGTGACACTTCTCTGTTGGATACTATAATGGTGATTACAGGTCTTTATACGTTTGTCCATACCCATTCCATGTACAACACTAAGAGTGAATCCTAATGTGAACTAGGGCTCTGTTCATTGATTACCCCAAATGTACCATACCGATGAAGCTTGTTGATTGCAGGAAAGACTTATGCAGGTGTGGGGGCAAAGGAGAAATGGAATCTCTCCATCCTTTCTACTCAGTTTTTCCATGAACTTAAAACTGCACTACAAAATGCAGTCTATTTTTTAAAAAATGATGCTGAGTGTGCATTGACATAAAGGAAACACATAGTAACCTTGCCACTCTAAG